GTATGCGACAGGTCGCCACTCTACATTGTTACACGCGGCGATGTGTATGGGGTATCCGTGGTTAACGCTAGAACCAATTGTCGGTACAAATATAATCTCAGTGATGTTAAACTGATGGAAATTTGAACACGTGACGTAAATTTATTGATTGGGATAGTCATCTACAAAAGTATTGAAGTCATTTCATAATGCTCTCCTCAGTTGGTGTTGAATTTCACAAACTTAGTATTCAAAATGAATTTTACTTTCAATAGTTCGGTGAGAACTGGAAGATTACTACTTGTTCTGATTTTTTTAATTTTTTTTATTTTACAAATTGTTTGCAAGTTCACTTTTCGGTGTGACCAGTCTGGCCGAAGTACTCGCATGGTCCATAAATATGTTGAATTGATTGATTAAATCGGCCAGTTTCAATTTTGTTTATATTAGTTTTTAGCTCCGCTGTCGACTTTGTCGAGCGGAGCTTATCATATGAGTGATTGTCCGGCGTCGTCCGGCGTCGTCCGTCGTCCGGTGTCCGTCGTCCGTGTCAATGTTTTACTTTTTCGACTTCTTCTTGAAAACTACAAGCCTGAATGCTTTGATACTTGGTGAATATGTACCTTGGGGAGACCTCTCTCAGATTTGTTCATTTCATGTTCATATCTTCAATTCTCTAATTTTGGTGAATATTTTTTACATTTTTGGTAAAAAGTGATATTTTCGACTTCTTGTTAAAAACCGCAAGACCAATTGCTTTGATATTACATATATAGGTACTAAATGTGTATCTCTCTCAGATTCTCTAATTTTGGTGAATATTTTTGTCATTTTTGGTAAAAAGTGATATTTTCTACTTCTTGTTAAAAACCGCAAGACCAATTGCTTTGATATTACATATATAGGTACTACATGTGTATCTCTCTCAGATTTGTTCATTTTGTAATGATATCTTCAATTCTCTAATTTTGATGAATATTTTTGTCATTTTGGTAAAAAGTGATATTTTCGACTTCTTGTTAAAAACCGCAAGTCCAATTGCTTTGATATTACATATGTAGGTACTACATGTGTATCTCTCTCAGATTTGTTCATTTTGTAATGATATCTTCAATTCTCTAACTTTGGTGAATATTTTTGTCATTTTTGGTAAAAAGTGATATTTTCGACTTCTTGTTAAAAACCGCAAGTCCAATTGCTTTGATATTACATATATAGATACTACATGTGAATCTCTCTCAGATTTGTTGATTTTGTAATGATATCTTTAATTTTCTAATTTTGGTGAATATTTTTGTCATTTTTGGTAAAAAGTGATATTTTCTACTTCTTGTTAAAAACCAAATAGTCCAATTGCTTTGATATTACATATATAGGTACTACATGTGGACCACTCTCAAATTTGTTCATTTCATGATGATATCTTTAACTTTCTAATTTTGGTGAATATTTTTGTCATTTTTGGTAAAAAGTGATATTTTCAACTTCTTGTTAAAAGCCGCAAGTCCAATTGCTTTGATATTACATATATAGGTACTACATGTGG